TAATTTGAGGCCAATGGAGCAAAGGCTGTGTTCATCGGAATTGGATTGCCTGAACCCAACAGAGATAAACTTTTTACTGGTCTGATGCAAAGCCACGGCTTCTACACAAGCAAGGATTTCCTCCCCGCAATGTCAGCCGCAAGCAAATCCGGTATAGTTCTTAATACATCAAGTGTATCAGCACAACTACTACTCAAGATTTTTAGGGAAATGTGGGAAAAAAGGAAAGCTGCCCTCCTTGAAGGGAACAGTGATTGTGCTCGGTGCTGGTAAGTGAGCGGATTGCAGCTTTTTTTTGAAAGCAACATTACTTTCGTGAATAATTCTCTTTACAGGCGATACTGCTTTTGATTGTGCCACCTCAGCTTTCAGAGCCGGAGCTACAAAAGTAATTGTGGTATTTCGTGAAGGGTTTAGCGGAATCCACGCTGTTCCAGAAGAGGTATAACATTAGGTTCTCCTATAATCTTTTTTTTAATAGAGCTCTAGTCACCTTCTCGGAGGGACTTAAATCGCTCATTGCAAATTAAACTCTGGAAGATGATTCTTACAGTAGTAAACAAATTAAACTCCAAAAGATGAAAACGAAAATCAAAAATTTTCAGGTGGAGGCAGCTCGGGAAGAAAAATGCGAATTCATACCGTTCTGTACTGCTATAGATATCAAGATTGAAAATGATAAGATCCAGTTTGTGCAATTTGCGAGGACAGGGAGAAATGACGACGGAAGTTGGTGGGTCGTTGATTCCCAAATTTTTGTTCAATAAGTCATCAATATCATCTGGGATTTCAGGTATGTGGACGAGGAACAAATGATGCTAATCAAAGCTGACTATGTTATTACTTGTTTTGGATCTTCTTTGCAGGACAAAGATGGTGAGTTTGTTGGAGTTCCATCATGCGAGCAAGTAACTTTCTACCTATTTTCTTAACAAGAAAATTTGAAAAATTATGTATTTGCAGTAATTGCTGCGATGTCGCCTGTAAAGGTAAACAAGGGCGGTTTCGTTCAAGTTGACAAAAACAATCAGACAACGAATGTCCCATGGGTATTTGCTGGTGGTGATGTTGCCGGAGTAGCCGAGACAGCCGTTGAAGCTGTGAATGATGGAAAAGTATGTAATTTAGTAACGTTATTGCTACAGCTCCAAGAAATTAAAATCGATGACAACAAAGCACGGAATTCGATATTTTGATCTATTTTTGTACATTTTTAGTTGCTGGTTTCAGAGAAAATTTGCAAAAGCTATCTTTGCGTTTTTAAGATAATCAACTTTTGTTAACGTGCCTTTGAAGCTAATTATCTATTGGG